TTTCGGTGAAATAATCAGAAAGCCATAAAAGCAGCTGTCTCGGAGTGCCAAAAGATTCAAGCTTAAAAAAGAGGGATGACCGGGATACAAAATCAAAAGCAGACGAATAATCGAGAAAAGAAAGCAAGGAACAGATTTGGCAGAGCTGTTCAATGACTTGCTTATAAAATTGACCAGAGTAGACACAGTATATAAAGTGGATCTGTTGGGTTTATACGCGAACTGAAGAAGAGCATGGGGAATGGTGACAAGTGACTGTACGCAACTCAGGATGGCTTTCTCAGTCAACTTTAGAATTACGGACGTCAATGCGATGGGACGAAAAGTTTTGCAAGAAAGGTTTGATGATGAGGTCTTTGGAGCAGGTATTATGGTCACTGGCCGCCAGGAATCCGGTAAGACCGTGTGTGACCGGATCATGTATCACAAACGACATTTTCCCTTTGATGCATATCTTAATTCAAACAGTGTGGTGAAATGTTCGATGGATTTCATTGATAGATGGAAGAAACATGGAAAACATGTGGTCAGAACGTCAAGGTATCACGATGGCAACCTGGTAGTTCTCGTTCTAGCTTTAGGCTCGGACAAGGTGTTGCGAAATGGTACATGGTGTGAAATATTTGTAAGGTTTTACTTTTAGAATTCTTTTCACGATTTCAAGATGTAGGTGACAAAGATTATCTTTGATCTCCTTCTGATAGCTCACAAGAAAAAAGATAGAAACCAATGCGTGAAAATAACCCGCAGTCACCAGCACCTTTGACACATTTTGATGCGGACACATGTCATGGACGAATCATATCAACGGTATTTCATATTACGGTGAAGGTTGGATCACGTGAGCAATTGTGTGATTCGTCGGTGTAAACCTATTTTGACTTAAGATCTCAGTTGAGAGTCAATCCGGTGTTTGAAATAGGATGAGGGTGAATCGATGCGTTCTGTGTTTAAATGCAGCGTCCTTGCAGTAGCAGCTGGACGGGAATTCTTGAACATGATCGAACATACTTTCAATTTAACAGTCTATTGATTTGACGGATAGGAAATGGTATCGCGATGCTTATTCACGGTACGCAGTGGCATCCTGTGTCTGGTTTTAATTTGACCATAGGACAAAGAGCAGTACTGAATATCAAACGGTGCGAACGACGTCCAGTCTGACCATGTTGCTCGACTATAAATGACCACGGATACGAAATTCGCTATTGTGAACCGAAAATATATTGCTGCTGCAAACGGGGATAACATATGGTTTAATGCTGAGACGAAGTTTAATTGGAACGAGTTCGACCGTTCTGACTACTATCAACATGCTCTCGTCAAAACTGAACACTATTTTTGGATGGAACTAATGGGTTCATATGGTTGATCCGTAATAGAGACCGTTTTTTCACAACTTTTTAAATCATTACCTGTCATTGATGAATAATAAAAATGAACGGAGAGGAATAGCACTGACTCATCTAACCCTCCCCGAAAACCACCTAGCCAACCAGGTCTTCCCTAGATACATTTTATCCTTTGGGTCTCAGATTCGTACCCTAAATGGGTTAGTGAATGGATATACATCACGGATTGGTTCAATGAGGTCGAAGCTCAAACCGGATGCATTCTGAGTCCAAGCTTTATAAGATTAATCGAAGTTTGTATGGATATATGAAGTTTGAGGAATAATCATTTTAAAGCAAAAACAATCACCTCAGGTTGAACGGAAGTACAAACACAAATCCATGATCCGGGACAAAATCTAAGCCTCCCAATTACGGGTTTGTTAGCATGTAATTCCAAAATTGCCAGCACAGAATCACCGTAGTGATTCATCGACGTTGGCCCGTCTCGAATGTGGATGGGAGTACAGTTACGCATGCTGTTATGCTACCGATGGGACTATCTTCGACGGTACCCTGAAATTCACTTCGGTCAATCTGTACCTTCTTTTCTGAGTGGATGGGGGGGGGTAGTTAATTGATTAAGCATTTCATTAGTCAAGTATGTGGCTTACATAAATGAACTGATGCATAGGTGAAGGTCGAAATTTCTCCATTACATAATGATTAAAATTCATCGATTGCTATCATTTTTACGAAATTATGACGACCAAGCAGTTTATGGAATCAGTCACTGTCCTTCAAAGAGTAGTCCTCAAGTATCAGAACAACGTTGATCGTGCCTAACCGAACTGTTCCAAAAGCTGTTTATCCAACAGCCGCTTGCATTAAGGTACGGGGGAATGTGATTTAAACATATCACACATCTCTTGTTGGTTTACCAGTTCATTCAGGGCCTGGCAACGGATTAACGCAAAATCAAAATTGACCCTAATAATCCAAGTGATATACTCAGTTTCCAATATAGAAGGCATGTGCGAATTTGCTTCTGTCTCCTTAGTGTTCTGAGGTACAAGTCCGGGTGGACAAACTCGTTTGTTTAGAGTACATTGTTACAAATTAAACAACATTCTTTAGGAGATTTGCACCCATTTCGCGACAACGTTTCGGCATCATTTGCTGGGACGAAGCAACTATACAAAGGTCCGGTGAATGTGTGACGAGAGTTCAAATCATGCCGAAGCTCACTCGCATCGGAGTTACGTGAGTGATCGACCTCGCTATCGACCTTGTTGGTCTGTATTTCATCCGTAGGCCCTGTAAATCGTGTTGACTTAATTAAAGTCAGTGTGCACAATTTCGGTGACTTTGGTTCTTCCTAAACTCCAAGATTTCTACTGTTGAAACGCTCTTTCAATAAATTTCATCATGAGCCTGATGTCAGCTTCACTTTCCAGTCATGCTATCGCAGATATGAGGATGTTCTGAAAACTGACGGAGCTTCTCTTGAAGCTCGTGTTTGACTCTAACTTCGTAATTTGGGCCCAGAAGAACACGAAAATGCTGTAATTTTACCCTCTCCAAACATCCAAGGGACCTTGACTTGTAACAAACGATGAAAAACTTTAGCGCCATCTTCGGTGAACGATCGTCTTTGCTCAGTATACGCTATTAATGCCTGCAAGTTTACAAGGTGGCTGTGGAATAGTTTGTCTCCTATGCCAACCGCGTTTATCGTAGGCGCGAGCGCTTCAGAATCAAAGGCCTCACAAATGATCAGTTCAGAACTCTTATTTTTTGTCTATGGTCTCCACTCCCCCACCGAAAGTGAGATTCGCACACGGTTATCATCCAAACTCTAAACTGACACGGAAATTACGTTAAAACAAGTTACTGATGAGTGCCAAGGCTTGATTAGTTAAAACCGCGATGATAAGATTACCCATTAAACCGGAGAACTGCCAGTTACTGAAGTGAATGCATTAACGACATTCAAAAGACGACGGTACTGTTGATCCTGACACTTTGGTTAGTTTTGCGCACAAAGACAACACAAGTGCGGAATCTGTGAGTTGGTCGGTCATGGAGACACAATCTTTCACCATTGCTCTAAACCAAACCCGTTCCATACTGAAAGAAGCACCGGATGTCGCAGCTCATCAAACCTCATTTTTACCATGAACTCTCCCAATTGTAAATGTCATCGAAAGTATATTCCCATTTGTATCAATAATAGAAAAGTCAAATTACAAGTGGATGCAGTCTCTGATGTGATTATGATCTTCACAATCACCTGGAATTTACTGGGCAGACCAGATTTTCAGCAAAACACCCACAGTGTCCTATTGGCATCCGGGGAATAAATACCATTTTTGGTGAATTCGGCTGCGAATTTTCATTTCGTGATAGTAGTTCTCGCGACACTTGCTACATATCTAAACTTGATCATTTGGATTTGCCTGGCATTGATTGGATGGATAAATTGGATTTGTGCCAATACCTATTCAGTGAAATTGGTGATCATTCTGAAACCTGGTTCACCTCACATTCAAGCCCCACTGGTAGATGCAGCGTCAGTAATGTATGTAGGAATGTTGTCTCTACTCGTTGAAAAATTGATTAGCCCAGCGTGTTTTCGGATAGTCTTAAGTTATACTGTAAAACAAAGCTAACCTCTCGAAGTTGCACACACTGGTCAGTTATGGATTGTCAAATTGAACACGAAGTTCAAACTTGCCACAATTGTTTAATGACAGCTATACTGTCACCTAAGGCTGAACCTCAATTATGGCAACCTGTTGCGGTGGCGGCGGCGCCTTGGTCACGCATTCACATTGATTTGGCTGACTCCGTTGAAGGTATGCTACTAATTGTTATTATTCCGATGCATTTAACTTCCACAGCTGCTTCGGAACAAACCTCAGAAGACTATTTGTCCAGGTCGGCATCCCGTAAATCCTGGTTTCAGACAGCGGCCCACAGTTTACATCTTCACAATTCGCTGTGTTCTGTTCGTCAGATGGCATCCGTCATGTTCGTACTCTAGGGTATTGTCCACAATCGAACAATCGATTCGTTGGCACGTTTAAAAGTTCTCTAATCGAGCCACAGGGGGAGGGTAAATTACAAAAGTCCATTGATGCATTTCTCCTCACTTAGCGCTCGACTCCAAACCCAGCTGCCCCAAAACAGAAATCCCCGATCGAACTACTTCTAGGTCAACGAATGTGGCTGGTTCTCGATGTCATGATTCCTAGTGCGCCGGATATTGCAGAAACATGCACCGCTAAAAACATAATAATGTCGTATTGAGAGAGTTTATGTACGTAATTTTCTAAACGGATTGCTGGATTCCCGGTGAGATTATAAAACGAGATGAATCCATCACATATAAAGTCAGTGGGACATTTCGTATGGACTATAGACATATCAACCTCCGCAGACCTAGAACTGGGAGACAAGAATTAACGAAAAGCTCCTCGGATTGCATACTCATGAATTTACTGATGAACCACCGGATTGGAAACATAAGTCCCGTAGATTTCAGCACCGAAATCAAAGCACCTAATCAATCGAACCAGCGACACAACTCAAACTCGAGCCCCAATATGCCGGCGGATCATCAACCCCAAGGATCCAATCTATGAGTCGTCAATGGTGTGTTCGCTTTCATCTTTTGAAAGGAGGGCGGGGTGATGAGAGCTCAAATCATACCACAGCACACTCGCATCGGAGTCACGTGAATGGTTGGCCTCGCTATCGACCTTATCAGTATGTACAAGCCTAGTGATTATTGATCTGTATTTCACCCGCTGACCTTGTAAATCGTGTAGACACAATTAAGATTAGTTCAGTGACTTATTTCTTCCTAAACGAGGGACGTACAGTTATAACAGTTATTAACAAAATAGGTCATACGGCTGAGCGATTCGACAAATCCGATTCCGTGTATAGTCGATCAGAGCAAAATCTTATTTCCTATAGAGAGCGAGAAAAGTGCATCTGCTATGTCGGCCTTCACGTCCATTACCAACAGAACTATGATCTGAGAACCGTTCGCGCAGGGTTTTGTGACTACTCACATCGTACGATTAGGCAATATAGTAGAAATACCCAACAGATCGTTTGTTTCAGATGATTTATTGATCGAAAATGGCCGTTCGTCCACCTGAAGCAATGGCTTCTTACTTGAGTAATGCGAATAACATGGTCTATTGCACTCAATTACAAACCAAGAATATTAAAAAAACTCAATTATTTACATGATCCCTCGATAAACCTTGTGCAGAACGATAGATTTGAAATAAGATATTTTTGGACTAAGGTGGAAAACCATGCATGCGTACATCAACACACATTTATGGTATATGTACAAAGAGGGTGTGTGTGATGTGTAGTCCGCACAAGTTAAACTCACTCCAAAATTTCGGGGAATAATCGAATTCAGTTGGTTGAATTCGGTCTCTGACAGGAGACGAACAAATCGTGTGTGTGTGTGTGTGTGTGTGCATACGCGTGCTCGCACTGAAGTTCACGAATGTTCCGAGTTCTTAGTCTCGCGTAGTAACGAACAAATGGAAAATTTGTCGGATACCGTTGTGGATCGCGTAGACGCTGTAGTTTTGCAGCATACTTCAGAGAGTCCACTATCCCGACAGGAATCCGCTTCAAGCGTTGTTTCGTGCTTGGCCGTGTCAGTTTTTCTCTGGTCTACATGCGGATGAACGAATCTCGTGGAATTCTCCGATGCGTTTGACAATTCGATGGGTTTGGTAAACTGTTCAAATTCCGCTGAGACGATATTTACCCCGTCCAAGAAGGATGGTAAATTGGGGAAAAGGAATGGAGGGGGAGGAATGAGAAATGGTTGGTGTGACTGTGGAAGAACTTTGGGTGCATGATGCGTGGATAGATCCAATATAGACTTCCCTTTACGCAAAGACGAATGATAACGATCCAGATATGTTCGATACAGCATAGAATGAGACATCACTTGACTTAGATTGGGAAACAGAGACTTCACCCCCTCGTCTGCTCGTGAGTGAATTGGTCGTGTTGGTTCCACTAGTGGTAGCATTCCAGAGATCAACGACTGCTCCTCGTTGTCCATCTTCACCGGACCGGACGAAATACGTTTATAACGCTTTCGACGACGTAAAAAACTCCCATTATCAAACATATCCTCGGAGTTCGGATCCAATATCCAATAGTTTCCTTTACCCGGATTACCCGGTTCACGTGGTATTTTAATAAAACAATCGTTCAGGCTTAAATTATGTCGAATTGAGTTTTGCCAGGCAGGAAATCGTTCCCGATAGTAGGGAAATTTATCCATTATGAAATTACATATTCCAGACAAGGTGAGTTTTCTCTGAGGTGAATGTAGAATAGCCATTGTGATTAGGGCAATGTATGAATATGGAGGTTTAACCGAATGCCGCGGACCCGTGGGTACAAATGGACTGTGTTCGAGCTTTTGAGAATCGTCCAATGAACTCGGAGATTCGTCGCATGAGAATCGGGACTGGCCGGTTACGGTTGGGTGATACGAAGAGGGTGGACTGAACTCTTCATTATCTATGTGTCTCGGAGTCGAACGTTTTAATGTCCGCTGTTGCATTCCACTCGATCGCCCGGATAGCCACTCTGTCACATAAGGCGAATCGTTATTCGGATTCAGCATCCTTTCGAATTGGATTGCTGCATGAGAGCACAAATTGAGATGATGCGCTTCCGGGGTATTTGGCTGTGGTGACGTTATCCCGCATGGTTTATACGGTTCCTTCATTTCACATGGTGAATAGGCCAGTCTGTTATGATCCATTGATGAAGGTAGTCTAATTGTCTCTGTCGTGGTTACCATTGTCATTGTGGGGGTAAAAGTGGTTGGATATGCAAATGGCCATGGTTTCATCATCATGTACCGTGTCCTGCACGTGTGTTGAATGAGACTGACAAATCGCGGATGAAATGATGCAGAATATATGAAACATGTGTACGCCACCGTTTGGATTCATGTCGCCAAATTGGCTAGACAAGGTGTAACAAATTCTTTGCCACTTCCCCACATAACAAACATAGCTTTCCCCCTTTCGTTCATTCACTCCTTCCCCATGTGCATATACGAACGCACGCATGCACACCAATAACGCTCATGCTGGTCAGATGAATGGCGAACGATAGCGTGTGTACGCACGCACACGCACTCACACGCACACACACGACGATGGGGTTAGAGTGATTCATTCATTACTTGACTCTGATTGGTTGGGTAGACAAATCGAGATTCAGTACGCACGAACAATCATGATTCCTGTGCTCCCGTGCACCAATCACATTCTAACACGAAGTGTTCCGCCGAGGACGTGATCAGATTGCTTGGGGTGGAGAGACCGACAAATGACGGTGTAAACAGTGCGAGTTCAGCCCGGGAATTGGATTGTTCTGGCTTGCTTCGGTTTGATCAGGAAGCTAGATGCTGCGGGATTTGCTTTCCTTGTTCGGTTTTCACGCCTGTGTATGAGTGAATAAAACTGTAGGCAACCGCTAGTGTTGGTTCCGTTCACATCCGCCCCCCTTGACTGAACTATCTACAACTATCAGCAGATGGGATCGGACTAAGGAACTCAAGTAATGTGAGCTGTACACCTAGGTGAAATGCCCCGTTTTTGTCGATATGTTCGCTGCACACTACCGTAAATTTCTGTACCAGTTCAGCCCGGTGCACTGAGAGCCACATTCTGGTTGATAACCAGATCTCGCTTATCCTGGATGACACTACCGTTTGAACGGACGATTCAGTGCGCCCTAACTATGCAGATTACGCGATGTTCTGATAGACTAATCAGACTTAGCTTCTTTCAAGTGTGTTCGGCATTATGAATAAGAATTTTTTTAGCGTTAAATTACGTCTCCCCGTTGTATTCTCAAAAATCACGTGAACGGAATAATCTGATTGCTGGTTTGCAATACACGAATTTCTCATGTGTACTTACCAACGATATTCATAAATACGTCATGTCAAGCGATGATTAAGCCACATTTTATCATCATCATATGGTGGCTGCCAGCAATAATATTATTGTTCCTTTTAATGTCCTTGCGTTTGCAAAGTTCTCCCTCTGTGTGTATGTGTGTGTGTGTGTGTGTGTGCGAAAATCATATCATTTCATAATCAACAAAAGGAAGTGAAATAAGAAATATTAGAAAAATGATCAGTTCTATTCTGCACCTGGTACAAGCACAATATACGGGCATTTCACATTGCTTGTTCCTGTTTGCTCGCAGAGTGTGCAGAGTGTGGAAAGAATAGTTGGGAAACTCAACCATAATCATGTTGTCTGTGGCAGTTGACAGTACATCTCCATGATCAGCACGCAATTTGAATTATTGCCACTCTAATGATTCCCATGCAGTTGATCGTTCATTCACCTGAGCACTGCTGTCCAATGCACAGCAGACTAAGAGGCACATTTACATCTATATATATATATATATATATATATATATATATAATGACCAGGAACAGACCACCATCTGTTCCTATCAAGTATCAACTTCCGACACAGCGCTCGACGAACGGCAACGTGGCGCTCCAGTTCAACTGGTACACTAACTCAAATCGACCACATAGCGGTAAGTTACCGTTGGCGTGGCTCAGTGCAAAATTGCAGGCCTTATTGGACCACCTACGTTGAGTCTGACCACGCACTAGTTCTGATGCAGTTCACTCTCCGACTGACTGGTCGGCGACAAA